GGTTCAAGCCCTTCACATTATAAACCGAACAATCGAGGCCGGGGTCCTCACAGTTCAACCCGGAGTTATCCTGGCAGCATCAGCCAGTTTAGCTTACGAGCCAAGGCTCGCCAATGGAGTAGGCTAGTCTAGGCACAGAGATGACCAAAACCAGGCCGCTGTCCTGAAACCACTCCTGATAAGAAAAAAACTGCTCCAAGCCTAGAAAAGCCAAACAAACCAAAAAAAAATAGACCTCCTACCATTTACGCTGCTAAACTAAGCCTCCAGCCTACGAAAAAAGAAATCAGAACTGGTTTTAAATCTTCTCTGCGACGTACCATTCAGGCAGGTTGGACAAGGAAAGGTAAGAAATCATCCGGAATATGGTTTGGAGAAACTTGGGGATTGGGATGGAGAATGGTCAGTCTGGAAGAGGGCAAGCTCGTGTTTGACAAATGGTTTTGGACAGGTTAGATAAGTGTAGCAACCTGGGTGCTCGGTTGATATTTGCAGGAGGAAGGCAGTTGGCTCTAGACTGTGGAGGGAGTGCCAGTAGAGTTGGCTTTGGTCCTTTGGTGGTCCACCTGTTGCATTAGACAGAGAATTTAAGTTTTAGGCATTTGACTTGTTTTTGTGAAGGGTGACAGGTGTAGGAGGTTAGGTAGAGCTATTGGGCTGTTGCAGCCTGATAGAGGACTAGTAGGCGCCTATCCCCTTCTTTCCCCTATTTTTTCGTAGGCTGGAGGCTTAGTTTAGTAACTGAGCCACTTTTGCCTCAGGGTCACATTAAAAAAAAAGGAAAAGAAAATCCAAAAAATAATTTAAAAGTTCGAAAAAACTACGTTCTCTAGAAAAATAAACGGAGTTTTTTTTTTTTTTTTTTGAGAAAAAGGAAGATATCACTGTATGCTGCGAAACGGTCCCAGCGTCCCTCACATCATTATTAGCCACGACCTCCTCAGGGGATGAGCCGGGCTCAACCCCAACCGCAGCACAGAAACTGATATTGGCCGGCTGTATGCCCTTCTTCTTATCATCCAGTCATTTGGTTTGGTGTACCCTCTGTGAGCTCGTTACAGTGGATAGTACACTTCTTCCCTCTTCAACTAACAATCAACTCACAATCATTAGTTAAAAAAAAAAAAAAAAAAAAAAAAAAACAATCATTAGATGATTGTTAGTTGAAGAAGGAAGGAAGAAGTGTATCCACTGTGACGAGCTCACAGAGGGATGACTGGACGATACGACGAAGGGCGTAGAGCCGACCGATATCAGTTTTTTTTTTTGCTGCGGTTGGGGTTTCAGCCTGGCCGGAGAGCCCGGCTCATCCCCCCTCAGGAGGCCATGGCTAATGATGTGAGGGACGCTGGGCCCATTTCCAACTTTTTCCTCAGGGCCGGATCGAAATTCGTCACCCATTGCGGACGCCTGGCCCGTTTCCTTGCTATATAAAGATTGTTGTTGTCAAAAAAAAAAAAAAAAAAAAAAAAAAAAAAAAAAAAAAAAAAACCACTTTACCCACTGACCGTAGTTTGTGTTGCTTTGCCTGCTGGGACTTTCTCCTGCTGGGACAGCTCTTCGGCGATTTTAGGACTTTTGTAAGGGGCACGGCTCCCTTTTGCCTGCTGGGACTTTTCGGGGCACGGCTCCCTTTTGCCTGCTGGGACTTTTCCCTGCTGGCATTTTTCCCTGCTGGGACTTTTGCCGGCTGGGACTTTCTTGCGGTGTTGTACACCATGGTAGACGAGACCTACCTTCTTCCCCCCAATAGAACCCACGGTCATTGTGCTTAGGAGTAACCTTTCCTTTTTTTTTTTTTTTTTTTTTTTTTYTTTTTTTTTTTAAATATGAAGTCCAGGTTGTTGTGGAGGATGGATGCAAGACATATGAACAGGCCCTTCAGTGGCTGGCCATTTGGTTATCTAGATGGATATATATATCGTCAAACAGAACTGCAGAGAGGGAGGGGAGAAGAGGACAACAAACGATCGGCTGCAGCAAACTGTTTCGTCGGAGTTTCACCATCTCATCAGGAGGACGAATATATATGCACAAAGGAATAGGGACCTATACACATACGTCACTACGCGGCCATGCTGTGCCTCTAGTGCCAGCGGCGTGCCTGGAGTGTATTTTTTGGCTGTGACAGACCTTTCTCTGTTTCGTGGGTGTTTTTGCTTGCTTGCTTGTGATGGGGTGTCAACCGACAGTCTGCAGAGTTTTCCATCGGGTGTGGGTGCGTGATAGTCTGCTTTGATTTTCGTCACAGGTACCTTGAGGGCATTATGGGGCATAATGAACATATTTCAGGCCCAATCGATGTCAGGGGTTTATCGCAAACTTCAATCGCCATCAGAGGGGTGCGACAGGGTACGTCGGCCATCCGAGGGGCGCGATGCAAATAAATTCAACTTTCAGGGGCGCAGCACAAATTTTCCCAAAACACAAATTTAAACGCAAAAGAAAGGGCGCCCCCGGATATAATTTGTGGTTTGTTTTTATTTAGGGCACCACACCACATTTTGGCCCGTCGCCCCGTACACAGCCGTTTTGTAACGGGGGAGGGGGGGGGGGGGGGGGGGAGTAAATGTGCCACAGTTCTGATCAATGCACTCAAACTTTCAAAGTGCAATGCATGCCTCCAAATTTCGGACCCCTTTAAAATTTTAACTTTAACACAAATAATCAAATAAAGTTGACAAACTGCTCTCAGGGCATATGTTGGACCCCCATAGGAAAAAAGAGAAAAAATAAGAATAAATAAATAAAAATGGACCCCCATAGGAAAATCACCGAGCTTGACCACGAAAACAATATTATGATTTATTTTCTGGTTGCAAAAAATTGCAACCACGAAAATAATATTAAGTATTATTAACACCGTGGTACGCTACTAAGAGACGGTTGCAGCTGCCAGCAATCACGGTGGGTCAGGTCCTTGGCCTCTACAACACCCCGGGATAAAAAAAAAAGAAAAAGGAAAAAAAAAAGAAAAAGGAAAAAAAAAAGAAAAGAAAAGAGATGGTTGCAAAGGCTCCCTCAGGAGTATTTTTCTCAATTTCCTTTCTAGTGGTCTCTACCCATCTACGCACCAATTTTTTTTATATATTATTTTTAACACCAAATTTCATGGCCAACCATCAGGCAGGGACAAGATCCCATGTCTGACGGGAGGTCCGTCAACTTCGTTCCGTGAGCCAATCTCCTTCGCCGCTCCCGCTTCTGCCCGATCCAACCCCCTGTACCCCCCTCGTATGGGAACAGCGGGCTCCTCGTACCAGAACAGCGCCCGCTGTTCCCGTGTGAGGGGTGTACAGAGGGGTGGAAAGGCGCCGTTCCGGTACGAGGGGGGTACAGGGCGGGTGGATCAGGCGGAAGCGGGTGCGGCGAAGGAGATTGGCTCACAGTAGGCATTAGAAGGATGGTGGTAGGGTAGATGCATAGAAAGGGGATAGAGAAGTACTCCTGAGGGAGGCTTTGCAACCATCTCTCAGTAGCGTTCCGCCACCGCCTCCGCCTCCGCCTCCTGCCCCCCGCCCCAACAGGACGTGGGTCCTCCCTACCGCCATCGCCGCCTCCCTCGCTCCCACCTGCTTCACGTCCAGCAACCGTGACCTTACCACGGTCACAGTACCGCCCCCCTCCGAGACCCCTTTCCTTGATACCTCCCCCCCCCCCCCCCCCCCCCCCCCCCCCCCCCCCCCCCCCCCCGCTGCGAGCCCCTGGCCAGTAAACTTCCCTCCTTGCTCGCCAAGTGGGGAGCAACAGCAGTCAGGATCCTTTACGAGGGGAGGAGTGTGAGAGTCACGAGCAAGGTTGTGAAAACAAGGCTTGGGGACACGTTTTAAGTAGAAACAGATGGCATGACAACAGATGATGCTTTGATTGCAAGAGGGACGCTGGACCCCGTTTCCAGCAGCTGACGCTGCGCACCAATATAGACTGAAGCCTGCACACAAAATATAGGAAGGGCGCTACTACAAGGGCGTCCTCTTGTCATCCCAGGTAGTAGTAGTCCAGAAAAAAAAAGGCTTTCAGACAAAAACAGGCTTCCATATATTTGGGCCTCTCCATTCACTCGAAAGCGTGGCCATTCAGCCTTAGTCTTTAAAAGACGATTTTGCAAGTTTGAGTGTGATGGCTGTTGTTGATAGATGTCCAGCTTTGGCCAGGCCGCAAGGGGTGTAAGCGAAATTGGCTAATGCTGCTGCCAGGACAACTCAGGGGGCCAAGTCCGACTAGCAGCGTTGAGTTTCCGCAACACGCCTGAATCTGGACGTGTTTGTGGGGATGTGCGGTTGAGGAAACTCAACGCCATTTCTGCACATCTCCTCAAACACGCCCAGATTCAGGCGTGTTGAGGAAACTCAACGCTGCTAGTGGGACTTGGCCCCGGGTTGAATTGTGAAATTGTGAGGTCCCCGGCCTCGATTGGAAACGTTATAAATTATAATATGAAAGGAGTTGCTTTGGAAAAGAACCTGGCCGCGCAAATCCGCAGAACTTAAGTTGGTTTTGATTTTATCGCTTTTTCGCTCACCGTGATGATGGCTTTTGACGTGTGGTCCATCTTTAGAACCTGGCCGCGCAAATCCGTCTCCAGAAAGAAATGATGACCTCGTACATCGTCCGCCAATGCAATCTCTTTCAATTCCTGCCGGAGGCAACAAATTGACGATAACGAAAAAACATTTCCAGCAAACAATCATGAGCACCGGTATTTATTTAAGTTCATTACTATTAAACCGCCAGCCAGTACCTTTCCCAGGCAAAAACAAAATTGCCCGCCGGTTAACACGCACGCGCGCCGGCCCGATGCATCCCAAATGCTTGGCGCGCAGGCCCCCCCCGCCGTCATATGGGAAAAGCTACTGGCGGTTTAAACTTTAAAGTTTAAACTTTAAACCACCATTATCCATCCTTGGCAAATTGAACCCCTGTAAAGTTTTGTGTAAACGTATATGTCCGAACTTGTGACGGTTAAGGCCTCAACCAAAATGGCCGGTCGCACGAGTACATCGAGCAGCGGCTTTGATTGAAAAAAAAAAAGAAAAGAAAAAACAAATTGAGCACCGGCTTTGATTGAAATATATTGCCACAAATATTTTTTCATGGGCCAAACCATTTTTGTTTATTTTTAATTTTTTCCCCGGCGTAACCTAAGCAAAATTCCTGATTCTTCTTAAAGAATTTTTCGTTGCCGGGCAACATCCCTGATTCTTTCTTTTTAAAGAATTTTTCGTTGCCGGAAATTAGAGCTAAAAGTCGCCAAGGTTGGGGTACTTGGAATTTTGCACACCCCCCCGGGCATTGCCTCTTCCGGGTAGCCCCCCTCCGGCCCGGCATGCCAAAGCGGTGTACTCTTACTGTGTTCTCGGAACGAGTTTGTCTTAGCTTCGGGCGATCTGGTTGTTTAAACCACCCGTAGTACATCCGAGCCTCTTTTCTGCCGAGGTGGATTCGCCGTGTGCGCCAAGCTTTGCCGACATGCCAGCGCGACGCTTTTTTTTTTTCTTCTCTCGCTTTGGCTCGCACCGCCAGCCATTTTGCTCCAGAGGGGGCCTACCCAGGGGAAACCTTCCCAGGGGGAGGGCTTCCCAGGGGGGGGGGGGKGCAAAATTCCAAGTATTTTGCTAGTTGCCATAAGTTTTTGCAGAAAACCCAATGTGGGGGGAACCTTTTGGGTTTGGGATGCTCGAAACACGTCCGTATTAATACTGCCATTTATCTAGCAAATTAGCAATGCATTATAGTATGATTATACGCCTCATGTAGATTTAGCTTTCTATAGGGAAGAACATATTATGAGAGAGGTTCAAGGAAGGTGGCTACTTCGATCAATGCACGCCTTAATGATGGTTTTCTTAATTCTATGGACGACCACGACACTACCAAATGAATTGCTCCTTTGCACTGGTTGTTTGTTCTCTCAGGCGCGATAGCGAAGGAGACGCTGCAGTCCCCCCCAGGCGACTTTCGCGTGGCATCATCTAACAGGCGCACATTTTCCCTGGCTTACAGAAACAACACTTCAGGGCAAAATGCCGACATACGCAAAGAAGGAACTGCCTTTCAAATGCAACTATCAGCCTTGCTCTGCTACTCACCAAATGTGCAAAATGAGAATGAATCTTCCGCTAGAACATGGGAAGATATACCGCCATATTTTTTGTTCTCTTGTGCATGTGGCGAGTAGTTGAGCGAAGTCCTATTTAGATATATCAGATTATCAGTGCTGATGACCATCCATCTGGAAACCAAGGAGTTCAGAACAGAGAAGACAACATAACTACGCTTACATGCACGCCAAGGCTGAACTGCAGGAAATAATTCACACAAAAATACACAGCAACGGATGACAAGAAGAAGAAGAAGAAGAAGAAGAAGAAGAAGAAGAAGAAGAAGAAGAAGAGGAAGAGGAAGAAGAAGACGACGACGACGAAGACGAAGAAGAAGAAGATGACGACGACGAGAAGAAGAAGAAGAAGAAGAAGAAGAAGAAGAAGAAGAAGAAGGAGGAGTGTCCCTCTACTACGATCTGGACTTTTCTTAAGGGAAAAAAACAAAAACAAAAAACATGGCACTCCACAGAACCGCAGTGGGAGAGGCTTCATCACTAAAGCACTTCACCATTGCAGACCCCTCAAGGATCCTTACCGCTCTTCCCAACCCCTACCCCAACCTCTCTGTCACTCCCTGAACACTTTCAATTGCCCCAGACCCTGTCCCTCCCGCCCAATCCCGGCCCCTCACCCCGCCCCCTTCATAGGACTCACAACCATCTTCGGCTAGGACACTGATTCCCCCTCGCACCCCTGCTCTTCCCTTACCTGCCTCCTGCAAGGAAAATGAGCGAGAGCGATAGACAGAAATCCAAATTGCAAAATCACTCTGCAGACCAGATAGTTGAGTCCCAAGCAGAAAGCACAATGCACCAAGATTCAAGCCAAATAAGAGTGATACAATGAACTGAAATGCCAATGTCGACACTCTCTCGCCACACCAGCATAGTATCCAATGTTGCTCTTCTTGATTGGCGCCCGGCGCCCAGCCTATCCAACTCAGCTACTACTCTAGCCTACACTACGTTTATGCAACAGGAGTCACTTCGAAGCTGAAGACCAACGTACGTGATGACGTCGCCAATGAAGACCAGCATACACCAGGTGCGTGTCTCCCTCTTCTTTCACCTCACCCTCGACTTCCCACAGTGTGCATCCTAGAAACCCGAAGACCACCATTGCCCACACCAGCCTCCGCACGCTCAGCCTGGCTATGGCCGCTGTGCGCCCGCTGCCACAGCAGCGCCCTCCTCACCTCGTGCGGCCGCGTGTGCCCTGGCGCTCGCCCTCTAGCGCTGAGCCACCGCAAAGTAGCAGCGTGGCCGCGAGGTCGAGCCAGCCAGAATGATTCCCCTGCCTGGGCGCTCACTTTCCTATATGGAAAGTGAGCCTCGACTCTGGCTGGGCTGGGCCTGGCGTGCAGCGGCCCAGTAGCTTCATGTTGGACCAAAGTGTCTGCGCGCCCAGACCCGTTCAGACAGTCACCTGCGATCGCAGCTTCAAGGTGCACCCAACCACTCACTGGGCCTGTGACGTGTCCCTCTCTTCCTGATAGGCCGAGAGGCCAGCCTCCACGTCCAAGCACAGATGAACCTAGAAGGTTCCTCGAAGATTCTGATTCTCATGAGCAGGACCTTTGTAACCAACTGGCGTGTGGTAACTGTCTGCCGCCCAAAAAATGCAGAAATGGCAAAAATGGGTGCCCCATGTCGAATTCAGGTCCGCCTTCACTTAGGGCGGTCACCACACTTGCTGGGGGGGCCTTAGGCAGTGGCAGGCCGCGGCCAAGCAGCCTATGTGAGGGCTCATTCCTCACACTCCATCCACCTTACCTTCGAAAGTCCGCTGAGATGCTTCTATCCAGGTGCTTTCCCCTTCAGCTTTCGTTCTAATCTGCAACGACCTGAGGTGCTGTCTTAACCAGTTCCTCCTTTGTGAACCAACGGTCTTCATTCGGATCCGTATGATGCCTGAATCTGACCCGGTATTCCCTTGTAGGTTTTGGCGGTCTTCCTCTGCCCGCAGGCTTAGGAACAGGCAGATCTCGATGATCCACAATGTCGTCAATGTCCACGTGGCCATCCACGGTTGGGGGCAGCATTGATCTCCGTGACGGAAACTTGTCAGTCTCAGTGAAGGGTGCAAGCTTGGAAGCGTGAAACGCAGGGTAAGTGCGCAGGTGACCAAGGATTCTAATCACATAGGAGAGTCCATCCGGATCACTACCCAAGGGATTAGCTTTCTAGAGATGCCGAACTACTGTCCTAACTCACTAGCCTTAACCCAGACTCATTCTCCTACCTGAAATGTGGACTGTCGTCGGTGTCTGTTCTCAGAGGCAATCATAGCCTCTTGAGATTTTATGATATGCTCAACAGCTTGCTGAAACAACCTCTCATACTGGACACCAAATTCAAGGAAGAAGAAAGTCTAGTGCTGATCTCGGCTTCCAACCCAAGTGCAGCTCATTTAGAGAGACCCCGGTGGTGCTGTGAACTGCGTTATTGTACAGGCTGGCGATGCGAGAGAACTTCTCATCCCAATCATCCTGACTAGGCTGATGTAATGCCTCAGCAAGTGTTGTACCACGCGGTTCATCTGCTCCGCTTGGCCGTTGGGTTCGGGATAATTCCCTGAAGTCATTTAGAGTTGGCTGCCCATCTGCTCAGCCGCTTTCTTCCACATCTAGCTGGTGAATCGGACATCTCTATCACTTACTATTGACTTGGGTGTTCCGAAATCACGCACCCAGTTATCCCCGAGTATCTTGATGACTTGCTCAGTCTTTGCAGTCTCAGGCATGGCAACTAGTCTAGCGTCGTTGGTGAACCGGTGTACTATGGCAAAGATAGGTCTCTTGCCACTCTTGCTGGTCACGAGGGTGTCCATGAAGTCCATGGAGACGCTCTGTCCCGAGCATGCAGGAATGGGCAAGGGCTTGATTAACCCAAGTGGGGCTTGAGTTATCAGCTTGTCCCGTTGACAGACTTGACAAGTTTGTACATAGTGTTTTGCATCATCAAGAAGCCAAAGTGTGCGGTTGCATCATGACACTCTCCTAAAAATAAACTACGCAAAGACTCGCTAGATGGAACACACAGTCTCTTGAACCTTACCTTCTCAAGAAAGAGCAACCCATCCACCATTACAAACTCGTCAGATGTGGCCTTGTCTCAGGCCTCGAGCTTGCGTATGATGTCCATCATGACAGGGTCTTCCTTATAGGCATACACCGCGGATCGAGTCAGCTTGTGAGATAGGCCGAACTCAGTAATCAGCGCACTTAGATAGTCCGCCCTACTCATCAACGCGTCGGCAACCTTGTACTCTCCCTTGACATAGTATAGCTTGAAGTCATATTGGTCTATGACTTCAATCCAGCATTTGAATGCATCGGAAAGAACCGGTTGCGTCTTAATCCACTTGAGTTTCTGGTGGTCAGATCTCTAATAGAAGAATCTGTCTCCGGTGGGTTAGAGCTTTGTCCAGGGCGCAGAGTTCCCTCTCGTAGGTTAATCACAACAACTTCTCTGATGACATTTTCTTACTCATATACTCGATCGGCCTCAACTTTTTCCCATCCTGCTGAGCCAGCATTGCGCCAATGCCATATTGACTTGCGTCGGTGGTTACAATGAATGGCTTCTCAGGATCAAGGAGCAAAGGGCCTCATGATGCATTAGAGCATGCTTCAATCGCTCGAAGACCCTCTCGCAATCATCTCTCCATTCCTAACGAGTGTCAAGGCGTGTTAGATCTGTCAAGGGGCCAGCCACCATAGTATAGTTCCTTACAAAATTGCGGTAGTAGCCTGTCATCCCCAAGAAGGATCTGACCGAACTCGCATTCCTCCAAGTTATACTTGTGTTATCGAAAACAAGCACAAGGTCAACGTGTTGTGCATGCTCCTCAACAGACTTACTACAATTAAGTATGTCGTCAAGGTACACGACGATAAACTTGTCCACGGTGTTGTAGAGGCCAGTCAGTGAGTACACAGTGATCACCTGGAGCTGTGAGCCGCGGGTGTCCTGGAATATGAGACCACCTCCCATCCCATCCTCACGTCAATACTCCTAGCGCACCCCGTATCCCACTATCCTACCTCAGTGTGACCAGCACTCCGAACCATTGCCCTACCAATGGGCAAGCAACTTGGACCGAACGACAGTGATAGGCACCAGGGCTGATAGGTTGCCCAACCCTAGTGGAAGCGAAATTTGACGAGCCTTGTCGAACGGGAACTCCGGATGCCAGGCCCAGACAATGAACTACAGGCACCAAGAGACTATGGACCCTAGGTTCAGACAGGGTAGCACAGTTCTATCCGAATGTCAGTAGGAACTGCACCCAATGGCACCCTATCCAACCTACCTGAACCTACTGCAGATATTAGACCCTACCTACCCTTTATACCCTAGGGTCTAAGCCTGATATATAGCCACCAGACAGTTCTATCCGAATGACAGTAGGAACCGCACCCAATGGCACCCTATCCAACCTACCTGAACCTACTGCAGGTACTAGACGCTACCCAGTGACTAGACCACCCAGCCTGTTTTTGTGTGTTTTTTTATGTGCATACTCTGTGAATCTATGAATTGGGATGTACAGACAACATCAAATGTGGAAACTTATGTATGTAGCCCACAGGTGATATGTAATTCGCAACCTATGTGTGTATGCACGAAGGCTGTGTGTGCTCTGTGAATCATGTGTGTATATAGAGGAGAGAACGGGGCAAGCCGGACAAGGACCCCCCCAAAGGTCCAAACCAAGCTCGAACCCATAACCTTGTAACATGTAATCCAAGACTCTACCGTATGAACAACTACCGGAAATGGCACGAATGTGTGATATGCCAGACTTGGGAGATCACCAGAACACCCAAGACCAACACCCCCAAGCAATCCCTGTAGCCGTATTTTAAGTCTTTCTTCGTAAAGTAGCTACGTCCCTGCACCCTATCCAATAGGTCGTCAATGCGGGGTAGAGGCTCTGCGTTTTTAACAGTGATGGCATTGAGGCCTCTATAATCAATGCACATCCTCAATGATCCCTCTTTCTTCGATACGAATAAAACTGGTGATCTGTAGGGAGATGTGCTAGGTTGTCTCCAACCCTTTTCTATAAGCTCTTTGAACTGTTGTCGAAGTTGGTCCAACTCGGCCGGAGCCATCCTATAGATCCTCCCCATTGGTGTTTTACTACCTGGGATGATTTCTATGGCATGAACAGCCTCCCTCTCTACGACTCCTGAACGCTCCTCAAACAGATCCGGGTACTTAGCAACAACAATTTTGATCTTTGGGGGTGATTTAACGACCTCTCCTTTCTCAGCAACAACCAAGTATATAGCCTCCTCTTGGTTTTGTTTATAATATTTGTAGAACGCAGATGCGCACATGCAAACATAGGAGTCAACTAACCTGCTAGCCTTGTACTTAGCTACCCTAACGGTCCTCCCATCTGGCAACACATGCTTGAGCATCTTTCGGTCCCAATCAAATTGGGGCTTGGCAACCTCGAGGTAGTACATACCCAACAACATGTCGAATGGTAAGTCGTCGCTAACCAGGAATGAAATCTTATGATTACGTTCCCCCACTCCATAGGAGGTGCCGACCACGTCCTTGACGTGATCGTGGACAACCATGTGCTCCTTGTGGGTTAACGTAGAAGCCACAAATCTACTTGGCTGCTGCACCCGGTCCCCTAGGCGCAGTCTCTCAGTCGCGACTTATGAAGTTCAGCGTTGAGCCATTGTCTACGAAGGCGCCACACTTGTGGCCACAACGAAGTGCTCCCCTCTAGGACCTTTTGACATAGCCACCCAAGACTCACGAGGGTCTATTGCTGACCACTCCATCTCTAAGTCCTCTAAGGCCTCAGACACATCTAACGAACAGAGTACCGTTTGGTCTAGATGCGTCTGTGGGGTGACAATTGAGTCAATAGCTTCGGCCAACTCCTAAAGTAGTAAGGGAACTCCTTCCACTTCAGCACGAGTAGAGGCAACTATAACCTCTACTGGCCCGATGTGTTTCCCTCGGATGTGCTCGTAGAGGCACCACCCTGGGCTGAAGATACGCCAGCACCCAGTGTGGGTGGGATCTTCCCAGGTACCTTCTCGTTCTTGCACTTGAACAGCTGATGGTCGAACTGGCCACAATTAATGCAAGCACTCTGCGTGTATTGGTCTCTCCACACATCTTGATCAAGGCCAGCTCTCACCCAAGCTGGATCATTGGGCGAGTTTTGGGCCTTCCCCTGACTCTTTTGCTGGCCGCCCTTAGCACGGCCAGCTGCCTTTCCTTTGGTTGCTGTGGCGCGGTTTCCCCCCTCTTCGTTCTCCTCACCGCCGAACTCTGTCCCTTCCACAAGTTTGGAAATGTCATTCATTTCTACTTGACTCCCATCGGAATCAACCATCGTCAATCGATGCCCCTTCTTCTTCCATTCCTATGTGGAATCTTCCTCTTCCTACCGCCCATAGCAACCTGTTGCGCGCCTCCTAGCTTTGCCTCCAAGTCTAAGGCCTTTTTGCTAAACGAAGCGAGGACGTGAAATTTGGTGCTGGACTCACTGACCAACATGTTCTTGATGTCTGTAGGAAGACATCTCAAGTACATGGTCATTAAGACCTGTGGATCGTAGCACACTCCAGGGACTATGATGCGCCGCTCTACAACGTTAGTGAGTTCGCGTGCACCCTTGTACTTCTTCGTATCAAGTCTGGCCAATGCATCAGTGGCTTGCTGCGCCTGCTGTGGGTTGTGCCACCTCGCCTCCACTAAATCCATAAAGGACTCTCATCTCTGGGTAGTTAGCCCAGTCGTTCATTCTTCTACCGTAGCCTCGGGATGCGACTAACCCATCCAACCACCTTGCTTCCGAACCCTCAAGGTAAGAGGAAGCTGTAATCACTTCCTCTTCATGCAAAACTAGCTGCTGCCGCTGCTAACGCACGCTCTGCTACTGCTGCTATCTCGCTAGCCCTCTGCAAATTCGCCGACCTTGCCTCGGCTCGGAACCTTCTCTCGTCCCCTGGTAACAGGACCCGGAACACTGCAGGTCTACGTTGAGTTTCCTGCCATGTCTGCCTCGGATCATCAGCTGTCCTTAGTTTGATTCTGTTGTTTTCTTTTTTATTTCCAATTCCGTGAGGGAAGAGTCTGTGCCACAACCATCCTCTTCAACAACAGAAAATGCCCAAAGGTTAAGCATAGGAACTTTTCAGAGGGCCCATGGTTTCCCCCTCCAATGGTTGTGGGGACCACCTTGCCACCGGCATCCATCATCATGATGTATGCATACCCCTTTCCCATCCAAATACAGTCATAATGTTGTGCTGCAGAGTCAAGAGGATGAAAGAATGGCACATGAGTAGTGACACACACTCTCAGACAACACGCATCGCACCTCATACACCAGGCAAAAACCCAGGCGATGGTAATACCAAACAGTTCGAGCATGGATTGCACTGAATACACACAGGAAACTCCTTTGACACTCCTCGACCTTGAGATCTACGAGAAGCTCCACCACTGGCTGGGGCCTCAAATGTCTCTGGAGCTGGTAATAGTCCTTAATACTCCTTATACATTCAAATTATTCGATACATCAAAAGGTATCTGGTCGTCCTCACTGTCCAGATACATGCGGAATGTTTTGTAGCAGAGCAAAGGCCGAGGCGATGGTAATAGCAAACAGTTCGAGCATCGATTGCACCAAAAACACACATGGAACTCCTTCAACACTCCTGAGATCTACGCTCCGCCGCTGGCTTACCCTCTACAGTTTCGGCTAGCGCCAGTACTACCGTCTTCACCCGAATAGAACGCCAGGTAATTATTGCCGCATCGGGACTGAAAGTTGCATCAAATACAGCTATAATGACCGGGCGTTCTATTCAGGTGAAGACAGTAGTAACAAGACTGGCAGACCTCGTAGATCTCCATGGAAAGAAAAGTACTGTGGGAGGGAGGGAGGGAGGGAGGGAGCGATAGAGGGAAGGAGGGAGGAAGGGAAGGAGGGAGAGAGGGAGAGAGGGAGAAAGGGAGGGAGAGGGAGGAGGGGCGAGACGTGCAGCACTCTTGGATTTTAACAATGACACAGATTAGGTCAAAAGGAGATCGAAAAGATGATAGCACAACTGTACCTGACATTTCTTCATGGTCTCAGAATTGGCCTGCCATTCCCACCAG